TTTTTTTTTTTCATCGCAATTTTGTTTTCAATTTGCTCAATCTGTTTCAATGTTTAATTCGTTTCACGGTATGCCACGCTCTCCTTGTCATTAACAATTTAAATCGCCATAAAGGTGTATGCAAAATGATTCTTTTTACAAATGGAATTTCAATAAATAACGTATAATTACGAGCGTAAGCGCATGAAACATTCTTGAACAGGAATGTTTCGCGGAACGTGCAAGAAAGTTTTGAATCGAAAACGAAATCTCGTTCCAAACTACAAAGTGACTGCCGGGTGATTATTCCATTCTTCTTCTATGATATACAGACTAGATAATACAAGAAGGAAAGCCGCCTGTACATCCACGTTCTGGAAGCTTTCGTAATATTTTCTTTTTCTCTTTGTTTCATCTCTAATATTAACAATCGCACGGCCATCGGTTAGTCTTTTTAGACACAAGTATCAGCTTTTTTTTTTATTCATTCACTTTCTCTACAAAATATTGAAGTTTTCAGTATTCTTTATACACTTCACGACCAATTATATTTCACTGGTAATTTCAGATAGGAATAAATTCTAACTTTAAGATGTCTTCTTTCTCTACTGAAATAAATAAAAAGTCTCATGCTGGTTCCAGTGAATTTCTTGCCAAATCTTCTCGATTTGTGCGTACAGTTCCCAATTACAATTCAGTAAATCAATACTTGTAAAAAAGTTATGAGATATAATATTTCGATCCAATTTTTTCCAACGAGAAGAACGATTTTCTAAGTAGATCATTTTTAGTATTGTATAACATCCAAATCTTAATGTCAAGTCTTATCTGCTAACTTAAATCATTATAATCACAATATGCATAAAGAGTACCAGAAACTTTAACATTGTACAAAATAGAAGGGAAAATGAATAAAAAGAAAAACCTGAGGTTTAAAAAGATCCTGTACCGCGGTTCTACGCGGAGTTGAGATACGACGAGGGGATCATTGACCTCCGCCGGGGACGGGCTCTAATCGCGGCGCGGCAGGAACTTCGTGATGGATTTTTCAAAGCTTCACCGACCACGCCGAGGTAGGCCACTGTAGAGGTTTTAGCCGGAAAAAGTCCGGCACTACCCCGCAAAACTGCTCTTCTCCACGGAATTAAGTTGGATTCTCCAAGTTTCTCCTCTCTTCATCCTTTCGCTCCTCTTCCGGTTTTCTCCTCTCTTCATCCTTTCGCTCTAGTTCCGATCTACTTCTCTTTTCGTCTTGTCTCTCCAGTTCCAATCCTCTATTTTTTTCATCCTCTCGTCTCCTCTTTGTTGCGTTTTTCACAGAATTATCTAAACTCTCCTGTGACGGGCCGGCTTTAGTGAACAAATGGATCGGCCGTTGAAATCCCTTCGATGGGTGCGGCGGAATAGATAATATTTCGCATTTGGAAAAGCCGACTTCAGAAGATAAGAGATACTGCGTGAAACTGTGCGGTCGAAATTCAATATTCTGGTAATTCTTGTATATCCGTTCCTGTGACAAGAAGGCAAATTAATATACTTTTTTATTCGTACTGATAACCATACTTTTTAACATAGGTCAAGGAAATACTTACAGTAAGATTTTTTTTCTTACTGTAACTGCTCCAACCTTGGGGTTCTAGTATTAAAACTCCACCGGGGCGTAATTGTGCGTACATACGCCTGAATGCCTGTTTTAAGCCTGCATCTCCGAAATTCAAGTGTATCCATTTGGTTATCGATAAACAGAGGATCGTATCAAACTGCGGTTGTTCTGTACATAGCAGAGAATCGTCCTCAAGCACGTAATTGCCCTAAAAACATATATGTCTAAACTTCTGGAAACTTAAATTCACTAACCGATGTAATATGTGCAATCTGATACAATACCTGTACAAAAGTGACATTGTAAGGGAAACCTCTGTGACTTTTATCTTTTGTGAAACCTGGAATGTCAACTGGGCCATAGATAATTGGCATTGATATTGGAAAGTAGTTTACATCTTGGTGATCACTCTCCTCGTTACCAGCAGGAGACTGTGCACAATTGACATAATGTTTAATATTTTTTCGAGCTATATTGATGAGTGTTCGGTCAATGTCAATACCAGTTACGCTGCGAGCAGAAAAGTCTCTTGCAACAGAAAGAGTAATGTGACCAATATTGCAACCAATGTCTAATACATCTTTGTCAATGAATAAATGTTTACACTGTGCAAATGCTGTCAGTCTTGTGTCCGTTTCATTATGAGAATTGCGGTACCCATAGTACCTGTTGTAATTTCCATATTGATAATGAGCATCTTTCTCTCTGAACTTAGGCATTGTTTGTTTCTTTTTCTTGTCCTGACTCGGCCTATGCGGTGGTCTAGGCTTCCACTCTCCAGGTTGAGGAATAACAGGACTGACAATTTTATCTTTAACGTCCACCTTTCTTAATCTTTTGTCTTTAGGCTCCTCCAAACCTTTCAAACGTAATTTATTTTTGTCTTTTTGTGAACTTTCTGGTTTTGTTTCTTTGAGCTGGTTTGATGGATTAACCGATGGTAAATTTGGTGCTGGTTGCTGCTGCTCCATCTCAATTTTCTCCGAAGCATTCAGTTCTATAGGTTCTGTGATATCAACAGCATCACAATCTTTAATTTTAGTCTCTGTCGGTTCACTTGCATCATTCCCAGAACCGGAAGATGCCCGTTTTTTCTTTCTATTTCGTCGCTTAGAACCTTTCTTAGTCGGAGATATCAGTTGTTTCTCGTATTCATCATTGTCATTACAATTACTTAGATTCAAAGGATCACAGATATTTGGTGGAATTATAACTTCGATAACCTCTTTCTTGTGCCTAGGTGTGGGCAACGGGCTAGACTTAGGTGTAACAGCGTTCATAGCTCTGTTTATCTCTTCATCTTGCATGCTATTCAAATTCAAAGGATCACATATGTTACCACCCAGTAAGAATTTTGTAGGTGGAATAATCACACCTTCCTTCTTTCTACGTTTATATGGTGGAAAGAATTTACCATTGCTAGTACTCTGTAAACGTTTTCTACCAAACTTAAAGTAACGACTGTCTTCGTGCTTGTGCTTCTTGTGAGAAGCACTAAACTGTTTTCTCGACTTTTCATTCTCCTTCTTAGCAATATGACCCACTTTGGTGGACCGATCAACTTGTGCGGATGACATCTTCTGGAATCTGAAAGAAGGAGTATAATCAGCTTTTATATTACAAATAAATAGTTAATCAATGTTACTTAAAAAATGACAACTCGACGTAAATAACAAAAGTAAATCGACGAAACTCAGACATTCAGAAATAAAATTTTGACTTGACATTACATAAATCATAAAACAGAAAACGTTGCTGTATAGTTTAAAGGCAGTTTAATATCGTTTTATTAATATGTATTATCACATAAAAAATTAATACATAAAATCCTGCTCGTGTTAAATTACGTATGTAAATTTAAAAGAAGACTTCTCTTCGTCATTATATGTTCGCGAAATATTTATGATTGCAAACAATGAATGACAAAAATTATCTGTACATTTCTTTTAACAATAACTTAGTCAAATGAATCAACATTCAGCTGACAACAAATTTCAATAATAAAAATATCAAAATAATTTATTCAATAAAAAATCAAAATCATTACGGTTTTTCTGAAACGACATCATTAGATGTTTTATCTAATTCTAAAAGTGAAATTAAAACGAAGTCAACGTAGTATCGTACGGTTTTTTTTCAATAATTTCTAAAAAAAAAAACAAATTAAAAGTAAATGTACAAATACCTTTTTGGCTCTCAGATTTTCGTACTTGTAACAATACGATTGAAAATAACTATCGTACACATTATTTTTATACGTAGAACGACTATTTGCGAAATAACTTTTATTAATGCATAATTCGCGCGTAGAAAATTAATGCAACAAGATTGTATGTAAAAACATCATTTCGATCCACTGTATATTCCGGTCTTCTGTAGAAATTTATCGTTCCCGCGACTACGCATGCGCAGATCGTGGTTTATGGCGTTTTGTAAACGAATGGTCGCCTATGCCCAGAGTTTTCGTATCGGATATCTCCCCTTAAATGCTTTGCCGAGGGCACGAACTTACCGCTAAACGTCTTGCACCCAGCTTTGATTTCACTTCGATGCGCCTTTCGATCGCATTAAGCACAAAAGTCCACGTTTGTCAGAAAATACGCGATACACCCAGCTTCGAACTGTCGTTGTGCGCCCATCAACGATGGCGAATAGCTGCTTTGCTTGCTTTGCTCAAACTCCATTTTCTATGTGGGTACCCGAACGGGCCGAACGCAGCTTCGGCAGTCTTCGGCTCCAGACGGCGTCCTATTGGGCGAGAATGATTTTTCGAATACCGTACAAACGCAAGACCCTTCGAAAGCTGCAGAAAGTTCTCTGCAATTCAGTTGCTGAATATTCTAAAAGACAATATGTTTACGCATAACGTTTCTTTACTGTTATGTATATATACGTGCGCGTGCGCACGCACACACACATGCGTAAACGCATGAGATTATTCTGTCACATACAATTATATACTTTCAATACTAATGGAAATGACGTAACTAGTACTTATTTATTTATATATATATATTATATATATTATTAATGATTAATAAATAATTAATATTTAATTAATAAATAATTAATAAATAATGATTAATAAATAAATGAATGATTTTATTTATTAATTTATTATTTATCATAATAGTTTAGGTACAACGTATTAATAAATATTTCGTTATATGATTTTAAAGTTTTAATAAAATTTATAAGTATATTAGTTGAGTGTTATTAATATAAGTTAATTGAAATAAATTTAATGCAAGTGAAATTAATATTCTTGTCTCGATGCGATGTTACTAAATGATACATCTGCATAAGTTTGTATAAAAATAAACACAGAAATAATTGATTATTTTAATATAATAACTGAATATAACTGACCATCTCACTATTTAAATACTTTTACAAATTTTTTAAAAGATCCGATGCACCAGGCTGCGGTCAGATCTGCATAACCGACGCTACTCATCCTCTTTTGAATCGCAGTCGAATTAGAATACGACTGCGCGCGACGAAGTCTCAATCAACCAATGACAGCGTTGGCGGCAATTACGTAACTTCGAAACGACTAAACTGTTTTTTATTCGAAATCACGCGATTTTTAACAATTTGAACAAACAATTTAAATAAACGAAATAACATAAAAATTCTAAAAATTCTAAAAATTCTGTTTTTCGTCGACACACTTTATAGACCTCATAGACACGTATGTTTCTCATTTGTTAAAAAAGCTAGATTCCTATTGGTTCGCGTTGCTTTGCAACAAATACCGTGCAAAAGGGTATGCGAACCCCGTTATAGACGCGGCGGGTTTCTCGTTCAATCGCAACTTTTAGCCATTCCCGCGGACGCGATTTTTTTCTGATAAATTGAGCCGTTTTCGTCCCGAAGAAGATAGAGTACCGTTGAACATCATCTCTTCGCACACAGTGTTACAATATTAAGCCCGGAATCCATTCATGCAACGACCAACTCGAAACGGTATGCAGGGGAGGAATTTTCTGTTTGAACGGTCGGATCTGAATCAACGAACTCCCAGCCTGTTTGAAACGTGGAGATTCACCGAGTTAAAGTGTTCCAACTCGTCCTCAAATTTGTTGTCACAGGTATCACGAAAACG